TTCTTCCTTCCTTCCTTCCTTCCATGTTCTTACTCTGTCTCCCACCCAGCGTGCAGTGTCACAGTCTTGACTCACTGAGACCTCAAACTCCTGGGCTCAAGTGATCCTCCTTCCTCAGCCTCCCAAATAGCTGGAATTTCAGGCACACGCCACCACACCTGGCTAATTTTTCCTATTTTTTGTAGAGCCGAGGTCTCACTTTGTTGCCCAGGCTAAGTTGCACTTTCTTAAATAACACATTGGTATGGACCAGTGAAATCCCAGCGCATGAGGGGAACTTCCAGACCTTTGTAGAAACATCCTTTTTCTTCCTTTCTCTCTCCCCCGTTTGCAGAAGGCTAGGCGTTTGTCTGCTAGCTGAGCCAAGATGGGCGACTGGAGCTTCCTGGGAGAGTTCCTGGAGGAAGTCCACAAGCACTCCACGGTGATTGGCAAGGTCTGGCTCACGGTCCTCTTCATATTCCGCATGCTGGTGCTGGGCACGGCTGCCGAGTCCTCCTGGGGGGATGAGCAGGCTGATTTCCAGTGTGACACGATTCAGCCTGGCTGCGAGAACGTCTGCTACGACCAAGCCTTCCCCATCTCCCACATTCGCTACTGGGTGCTGCAGATCATCTTCGTCTCCACGCCCTCTCTGGTGTACATGGGCCACGCCATGCACACGGTGCGCATGCAGGAGAAGCGGAAGCGGCGGGAGGCTGAGCGGGCCAAAGAGGTCCCGGCTGCCGGCTCCTATGAGTACCCGGTGGCCGAGAAAGCAGAGCTGTCCTGCTGGGAGGAAGCCAACGGAAGGATTGTTCTCCAGGGCACGCTACTCAACACCTATGTCTGCAGCATCCTGATCCGCACCACCATGGAGGTGGCCTTCATTGTGGGCCAGTACCTGCTCTACGGGATCTTCCTGAACACCCTGCATGTCTGCCGCAGGAGTCCCTGCCCCCACCCGGTCAACTGTTATGTCTCGCGACCCACGGAGAAGAATGTCTTCATTGTCTTTATGCTGGCTGTGGCTGGACTGTCCCTCTTCCTTAGCCTCGCTGAACTCTACCACCTAGCCTGGAAGAAGGTCAGACAGCGATTTGTCAAGTCGCGGCAGGGCGTGCCTGAGTGCCAGCTTCCTGGTCCCTCTGCCGGCATAGTCCAGAGCTGCACACCACCCCCTGACTTCAGTCAGTGCCTGGAGAATGGCCCCAGGGGAAAATTCTTCAGTCCCTTCAGTAATAATATAGCTTCCCAGCAGAACACGGACAACCTGGCCACTGAGCAAGTGCGAGGCCAGGAGCAGATTCCTGGGGAGGGTTTCATCCACATCGGCTTCGACCAGAAGCCTGAGGTGCCCAATGGAGTCTCACCAGGTCATCGCCTCCCTCATGGCTACCATAGTGACAAGCGCCGTCTTAGCAAGGCCAGCAGCAAGGCCAGGTCGGATGACCTATCAGTGTAAACCTCCAGCATGAGAGGTCCAAGACCATTTGGTAACAAAAGAGGCTCGGAGAAGGAAGATGTGTCCCTTCCGAGCCTCGTCTTTCTCATTGTCACCACTGCTCTGCTCCCTTTGGGCCCCAGGTCCCAATGGTCTTGATCGTTAATTCCAGAAAGTATAGCCGAGACTCTGTGAGTTTAGTCAGAGACATGGTCACCCACCCAAGTTGCTATCCCCTCCCCATCCTCTACCCAGTGTACTCAATTAAGCCATTTAGATTACTCATTAAACAGGGTAGAGGAAGGGATTTTTTCCATGGCAAAATATGGCCTGGAAGGGATAGCTGGAGGGATAGAATGACTCTCGACACACCAGCAATATACCAGATGGGCTCTCTACGTTCCTGTGTCTCTTTGACTTGATCACCCTTTCTCCCCCAAGGAAGAGCCCAAAGTTCTCAGCCAATAGAGAGCATGAATCAAGGGACTTACATTAGATGTACTTTTGAATTTCTTGTCTCCATGGGCCATTCCTTGAAGTGGTGGTGAGATGGTCTTGAGCTGTCCCTGGCTGTCTCTCCCTTTATTCAGTCTTAAAAGGGGGTCCTTGGAACTTGGCCAGCAGCCTCAACTCTACAAGTGCCTTGATATGTGCCTCTGGCAATGTCCCACCTCAGGGATGTTGCAATCCTTGCCCCTGGCAGGGTGTACACCCAGCCCATGGAGGTGCCAGCTCTTCTAGTGAGTCACTGTACACACAGACTCCACTGCAATTCCTGCCACCACCTGTCATCCTGTGACTTCTTTATAGTTCAGTCTGATGATAGAAACCATCCTTTCCTTTCATCCCTTGGCTGTTCACCCAGTGCTCCCCCAAAGACCTTGTCAACAGGAATACTCAAGAAGCCATCGTTCTTGCTCAGATCCTGACCAGATCACCAGTCACTGAGGCCTGTGGAATTTTGCCTGGTCTTATTAAAACAAAGAGGACATTGGGCTTCTCGGATTCCCCTTGGGAAATAAAATAATTCTGCTGTGAAGATGAAAATTAAAAAGGAGAGAAAACACTGGAAAACTATTTTCCCTCCTATTTATTTCCCTTACTAACTGCCCATTTAAGGTGCCAAGAGGAGGTGTGATGATAGCTAGGGAGGCCCCCACATCTCTCTCTCCCTGGAGGCTTTAGCAGGGGCATGGAAACAGAGGGGAATCTCCAGCTCTCTTGGCAGGGCCCTTATTTAAACAGCACAGAGATCCTTATGTCTCCCTAGTGCCCCTAATGAGACTGTAAAGTGGGGGCTGTCAAAAAAAACCCTGCCTTCCCCAGGGACTGGCCTGGTTTATCTATTCACTGGATCTATAATGGGGGGAGGGACTGTTTTGGAGGCAGGTAAAGGATGATCAGAGTTGGATACTGAGATTCATGGAGAGATGGTTACATTTTAAAAATGCATGCATGTGTGTGTGTGTGTGTGTGTGTGTGTGTGTGTGTCTATGCACTGATAGGTGGGTGAAGAGGAGGAAAGCCCTGAAATAAGGAAAGGAAATCACGAAGAAACTTGTGTCTTCTTGCCCTCCTCTTCAGCTGCCTGGCAGAGGGGCTGAGCCTAACTGTCTTGGTGTTATCAGCTTAAAATGAGAGGTTGGGACTGAGGAGGGTGAAGACCCAGAAGGAATTTCATTCTCTGCCCCATCTGCCCATCTCTGGGTCCCTCTGCTGATATTTGGATGCTATTGGTGGGTGGAAAGAGGGATGAGAGTAGAGAAATGGAGGAAACTGACTGGGAAACCATTTAGGAAAGAATGACTGGTCGTCCCTGGTCACTGGAGGGGACATCTTTTCATCTATTGCCTGGGATTAAGAGTCTCTCTCTTTCTATCTCTGAAATGTGTTGTTTTATAAAATGAGTGTTCTTGAATTAGAAATTCTACGAGATCAATCCTTGATGGTATGGCTTTCAGGAAGGAAAAAGAAAGTTAAGTGTGTAATTTGTCTTAATAAAACTCTGTCTCTACAGCTGTCTCTCCTTTGTGTCCTTGCATGCTGTGACTACAAGAGAAGGATGGCAGGCTTGGTGGGGGAGGGGCACTTGGACCTCACCCATCAGTAAACCAGTCATGCAAAGAGCTTTGGAGTCAGGCATGCAAGAGTTAAAACTCCAGCTGCCGATTTATATCTGGACTCCAGCAAGCTACTTAATCTCTGTGCCTTGGTTTCCTCATCTATAACTGGGCCCTAGTAATATCTACCTCGTAGGGTTATTCATTGAGAGACTGTAAAGAGTTCAGCAGTCTTGGGACATAACAATCTGTCATTAAATGGTAATTGTTGTTACTGTTGTAGTCATTTTTATTATTTTTATTATTTTGAAAGCATAATATTTGGAAACCTGGGATGCTGAGGGATGATTTCAGAACTTTCCCCATGGAGCCCAAAATTTACCTAAGGTGATCAATCTAATTCACATAATTTTATTCTGATAATTAGATTAGAATCACATGGGAATTCATTTATTATTGATTTTAAGAACCATAAGTTTCCAAGAAGTGATACATATGAATAACACCCAAAAAACCACATAGAAGAGGGGAAATTTGACCTTGGCCTTAAAAAGTGGGAAAGCTTTAGAAAAGTAGAGACCCCAAGAATGACTCTGTGAACTCGGTCTCAGTGTTCCCATTTTGCAGATATGTAAACTGAGGTCCAGGAAGGTTCGCTGACAGTGGGGCATTTCTGATTGAGATCTCATCTTTTTGGAAGAGTAGAAATGATTCTTGCTCCAAAGAGAGGGTCAAGAAACCGCCCAGCCCTTCACCAACAGGTGGGTGCTACTTCCAAGAGAAAGAAACAAAGAATGAAAAAGACCAGCAAAAGAGTTATCTTAACTATCAACAATCTTGTTTATCAGGGCAGTAAACCTATTTTAAAGAGGTCTCGCAAAGAGATCATAGAACATATCTTATGATACTGGTGTGGAAACTTGGGAGTTCACCTGGTATCAATCCAAGGGTAAGGTGCTCAGCTCAGAGATGCCAGAGTAGTCTAACTAGAAAAAGCACCTGGGACCCCTTTTTCCTCCTAGAAAATAAGCAGTCCATCTCATAGTTTTACAAACATAGCTATTAATGTCCAACAGTTTACATTATGCCCAGACAGTAAAAACCAAGGGACTTACGTGATAGTGATTAAGATTTCAACCTCATGTATCTCTACTCTCATTTTCCTTCTTTCCCCCTCCCCAGTAAACATTCATCACTAAGGAGAATAAGCTGGTTGATAATATAGTGAACACACTCCGAGTTTTAGGCCCTGTTAGGTCCCTTTCCCTAGTTTCCTTCTTCCAGTGCCAGATAAGACCAGAATTTCTACCACTTACGTTTCATTCCAATGGCTAAAACATTTAAGTAGTTAAATGTCAATAATAAACCTATGAAGAATAATAGTATGAGTGGGTTTCAGATTTTTTTCCTAATAGCAAATTTTGATAATAAAAAAAAGAGAGAGAGAAACAAAATAGCAAGAGCCCTAGGCACATTGCAAGCATCTTGACAGATTGCATTCATGATATGGGCATGAGGAACACAGCAAGGCTGGAGGGAGCCACTAAAGATATTGCTCACTTACCAATCGTCAGGATACCCTGGAAACCCTGCAGTCAGTTTATGTTTCGGCCCTTGACGATAAACAGAACTTTCAAATGCTAGATATGTAAATAGAATAGGATTATGGTTTTTATTCCATCATTGGTCACCTGATGGTCATCAGAGATGTGTAGGGTCTATAGTTTTTTATTGTTATTTCAACTGGAAATAAGAGAAAATTTTATTCAACAAATAATTATCAGCCAGGTTTGGTGGCTCATGCCCGTAATCCCAGTACTTTGGGAAGACAAAGTGGGAGGATTGCTGGAGGCCAGGAGTTCAAGACCAGCCTGGGTGACATGGCGAGATCCTGTCTCAACAACAACAACAAATTAAACATTAGCCAGGCACAGTGACATGCACCTGTAATTCCAGTTCCTTGGGAGGCTGAGGGAGACTTGCTTGAGCCCAAAAGTTTGAGGCTGCATTAAGCTATGAGCACACCACTGCAGTCCAGTCCGACGACAGAGCGAGATTCCTGTCTCAAAAAACACAAAGAACAAATAATTACTGAATAGCTATTTTGAGCTAGGCATTCTGTTAGGGGTTAGGAATACAATTTTGTAAACCAGACGTGGCTCCAACCTCTTGGAGCTTACAGTCTAGTGGGGAAGACACGCTGACACAAGCAAACAAATATACTTTCAATTTGTGACAAGTGCCATGAGGGAAACAAATAAGGGGTTACCAAAGTGGGGCAAGGGGTCTTCTTCAGATAGTGTGACAGAAAGTCCTTTCTGAGGAGGTAAGTTCAAGCTGAGATCTGACAGCTTAGACTTCAGCCATGAGTAGGAGAAGAACTCACAGGACGGAATCCAAATTCCTTCCAGGAAACCCCAGAGTACAGCTGTTCCATATCTTAGTCTGGTCCCACATTTTTGAAAAGCACAGAATTCAACCAGCACCTGAAACAACAGCATTAGGCACCAACTGTTGCAAAACACACATATCTTTTTCTGTAAAAAATTCAAGGGATGGAAATCTTTTCACTCAAGGAAGCAGAAAGAGCATTATATATGATCTGAATTAAAACAAGTCAACATCACACATTAAGTTCCAAAAAGTTCTGTTTGATGTTGCAACTATTATTTCCACCAGTATCAATTCTTACAGCACACTTGGGGCCTTCTAAACTAGGTCTATTCCCTGGGGGTAGGACTGAGGGTGGGTGGCAGGGGTGCTTGGGGACAGAGCTGGCTGTTGGCCCCAGCAGGGAGTCCGGGCTGGCAGGCAGAAGACTATATCCAAAGGAGCTGGAAAAGGAGCCAGCAGGGTGTGGTGCAGAGTGGCCTTGGCATCAGTGAAGTCAAAACAGCAAAACAAAGTACAAAGAGAGGCAGGAAGTGGGGAAGGTGGAGGAGCACCTCGGCAGGATAGCCAGGCCACAAGGGTTGTGCAAGACACCAGGCAGGCAGGCACTGTCAGGGCCATGTCTCAGCTGGATCTGGATCTGGAGCTAGATCTCCAGACTCAGGGAAGGGAGTCTGACATGGGCAAAGCAGAGC